GACACAAAAAATATTCTTTTGCCTAGAGTAAAACAAGTACTGATTCCTTGTCCATCTGTCCTCCCTTCACCAGCCAGAACAACTCTCTGGTCATGCCTCTGACTCTACAGCTCGTAGAGATTCACAGGGAGAGCTTCGGTCCTGCATCCGCTGCGGGGTGGCTCTGGACCAGGGAATCCCCATCTCTGGTCCATGGCTCTGCATATCGTTACTGGCCTGAGTCCTGGAGCGTACAAGCCGGGATGTCACCAGAAAGCCCTTTCAGCGTAAGAGGGAGATGAGCTGCTCACAGCACTGAGCTCGCTGGAACGGGTTCCTCATCCCCAAGCAAGGACAGATGGGCTGAGTGAGTCCATGGAGACAAGACTGGTTGTGATCAAAAGCGATTCAGTATCTTTATTGCTAAAGCATGCCAGCAGAAAAGCAGTGCTCAGACAGCCTTCGGTTGGGTGAGCTGACAGCGTGATGGGCGGTCACAGCGCTTGGGTGGCTGCGAGGATGAACAGCAGGAGCTGGGGGAAGAGCTTGAACGATCTGTTGAAAGACTGTCTAGTGCCAGACAGGTCTGTGATCCCGAAGCGAAGCAGTGATAACCGCATCGCTCTGCACTGCCCAGCCCCTTGGATGAGCTGCTCCCAGAGCTGAGCAACGGGGCGTGTGAACTGGCTGCCTTCGCAGTGCTGATTCACTGGGAATCACTCCCGTAAGGGGATCTCCTTGGCACACGCTCTGCCGAAATGGGCAGAGCGGGTCTCAGGCCGGGGAGCAGGTCTGTGCTCCAGCAAGGTGCTCACTGGTGGAGGTGGCTTGTAAAGCGTCAAATGATGCCGGGCCAGGACTTCGCCTGATGCTCTGCAAACAGCTTGGGGCACGGGCCAACATGGAGGAGCATCACCCTCTTCCACATTCACCGAGAGCAGAACAGGGCTTGTCGATGGGCTGCTGATGGAGGCTGCCTGCAGGGTCCCACAGGCAGAGCGAGGCCTGGCTTCACCGTTGCAGAATCATAGAACGCTTTGGGTTGGAAGGGCCCTTCAGAGGCCAACCCCCCTGCAGTGACAGGGACAGCTTTAACTCGATCAGGTTGCTCAGAGCCCCGTCCAACTTGACCTTGAATGTTTCCAGGGATGGGGCCTCCACTGCCTCTCTGGGCAACCCGTTCCAGTGCCTCACCACCCTCATTGTAAAAAATTTCTTCCTTATATCCAGTCTAAATCTCCCCTCCTTTAGTTTAAAACCATTACTCCTTGTCCTGCCACAACAGGTCTTGCTAAAAGGTCATTGCCAGGACCCAGTCTGGAGCTCAGAGAAGGACAATACAGAGTCACTGCCCTGTCTTCCCTCCAGTCGGCCCTTTTCCTTGCTGGCTCCATTGCTGCCTCCCCGGCTTCTACAGCCCAAGGGGCCGAGGCCGTGCTGCCTGTCTCCCTTCATCCTGCAGGCAGCAGAGCGGGCAGCAGGGGATCAAACCGGGTGAGCATCACACATCACGCTGCAGCTCAGGCATGGCTAAATGCCCCGAGCCTGCCCAGAGGGAGTTTCCTTTGCACACACACCATGAAGTTTCCTTTCATGGAAACAGATCTAGGATTACTTTTTTTCCAGATAATGTGGAAGGGCTGTCAGGACATGTCCTTAAAGATGACAAAGAATCAGCAGCTGAGATAGATAGAAACAAAGACAGCATATTTCACTCCACACCTTGATATATTTGTTACCCATCTTGGTGTTGTTCAAACTTACAGAGCAAACCTGTCAGCAAGGGTAGAGCCTGTGCCTGCCATTCCTTACATGCAGGAGACATCTTTCCCAGGGTTGCGTCCTTCAGCTAGTTTCTACTAGCTGTGAATTGTGAAAGGCACTCAGGAGAAGCTGGCCCATAGGGGAAACCCAATGACTCCTAATTAGCTCTTATTAATTGCATTAAAAGCACAATTAAGTGCTATTCTTTGAGGCAAATGCAACGCATTGACCCTGGCCTTTTCACACCAGCCCTCACCACACTGGGTTACTGTGTGCTCTGCTTGTCCGCTCCTAACGTATAATTTCACCTCCCTTCCTACGTGAACTGGAGGAGTTCAGTTCTTTATTTGCCCCTGCAGCACACCTGAGGGAGAGATAGCATCTACAGCATGCTTCTTGCTGGAACAGACTCTGATACCATCTCCTGAACATTATGATGTGTTGTGTTTTTTTTTTTTTATCTCAAGGGAATTTATTGTGGGTGAGTGTTTCAGGAGAGCCTGGGAGATTGAATTCTTTTGGTATCATAAAATAGCTGAAGTGGTGCATGCTCCTCTGTATAATCATACCCTGTCGACAGAGCCAGCACAAGGGGAGCTTTGCACTAAGGGTTTCTCTTGTAAGAGCAGAGCTGGTTTGGGGATTACTATTTAGGAGCTCAGCCAGAGGTCAGGGCAGCAGCTGACCGGCAAGAACATTGATCAGGAAAGACCAGAAAAAGCTGATCTTTCAGGACAATCTCCAGATCTCATCTTAGGCTCCTGTGCCAGCTGTAATAAAAGAGCTTAAACATGGACTGAGGTCATGATAATACAGAAAGAAAAGCCCTAAATTCAGGTATTCCCTGCCTGTGGGGCTGTGGCAGGGCTTTGCCTCATTTTAGGGCACTTGTCACCTTCAGGCTGACTCATAACTTGGCCTAAAATGTGGGGGTGACCTGAGCAGGAGGACAGACCTCACAGCACAGTTTTTGGCCCATGTGAGGGGCTCATGGCCAACATGGGAATTGCCTGGAGCAGGAGGGTGTTTGCTAGAGCAAACATGAGCAAAGCGAGCACATCTGGAAGAACTCAGAGCAAGGGTGGCCAAGGAATGGCACTTGAGCACAGCTCCCACATGATGGCTGTTGGGTAATCCCATACCCACCGCTATGGAGGGAAGCGGGCCAGCAGGAACCCTGTTCACCCTGCCAGGTTGCCCCAGGATTTTGCTGCAAGCTGAGCGTGAACATCTGCACGCTCTGCCATTTGCCAGCGGTGCATTGCTCCCAGGTCCCCTCCTTTCCCCCAGCTCTCTGAGGCACCCAGGCATGTGTGCATCCCAAATCCCCAGATTTTGCAGCTTGGGGAGTCAAAAATCCAAATCTGAAGCCAATCAGTTCCAAGGCAATGCTGCCCAGAGACTAGAGCCCTCGACTAAGAGGATCTGCAGTCCGTTTCTGGTTAAGCCACTTCCTCGATGGCTGCCCAGAAAAATCACACCACCTCTCGTGCAGCTGCTAAAGAAAGAGAATGTGACTCCCAATTAAGTCCTTGAGATCTACCAGCAATGCAGATAAAGCGTTGTTGTTATTGTGTCCTTCAGGGAACAGATGAAAGAAAGGAGGCACTATGAATTACCAAGGGTGAAGCTCTGGGAACATCTTAGCAACTCCAAAATCAGTTAAGTGCCGTAGAATGTGAAAACAGCCAGAGGGGGCCAGGGAAGGAAGGAGATCACCACAGAAGAGAAAGCACAAAAGTGTTCCTATTCCCTATAACTCTCTTTCACTACCTCACAGACACCTTTAGTAAAAGAGAAAATAACTTCTCTTATCTGAGAATTACATTGCTGGAGCCAGGCAGGCAGGAGGTTGGGTGTGTGATTTTCCACTGTATACTGCAAGAGCTGGCACCACATCAGTAAAGGCACATTTTTTCTCCCCAACAAAGAATAAAACAGTGCAGCGTCTCCCTTCCTGGTTCTCTGCTGCTTTTTTCACGCTAATACCTGTCCAGCTGCATTACTATAATCACTGTGCTCAATCCCTTAATAGCACAAAGCAGGCGTGGCTATCGGGGTGGCTGCCTTGCCTCATCTCCGTACATCTCTTCTGCGTTGTCCTGTTTAAACCCTCTGCTTCGCAGGTGGTCTCGGTGTCATTGCTCCTCACCGCTGTGTGTGTTGCATCTTGCCCATCAGTGCTTTTGATACAGGTGCCGCTGGTCCTGCTGAGTTACGTTAGCATTGTGTCTTGCAGCTGCAAATGAGTAGGAAAAAGCACGTCTGCATGCAGGCATAAGCACTGATAAGAGTTGATCACACTCTTCCCATCAGGAATTGTACTTAATGTGTCCTCGCAGTCAGTGTCTAACGTAGTTTCAAGTTCTTTTTCTCTGATTTAGAATATTTAAGCATTAAAACCTGCCTCAGCAATGAGATAGAAGAAATTGTGGCACAGAATTTAGAAGTCACAGACTGCTTCTTTGGAGTTTGTGAAAGGTGATGCAGCAAAGCAGGTGCCACTGGGAAACATCAGGTATCTACCTTTTAAACTGCCTGAAAAACCATTGCTGTAGGGACTTTCCAGTCTCTGCAGACCAGTACGTAAGAAGAAATTACTGGAGTTCCTTCTCTTTAGAGCTACAAGATTTCTGCCAAATAAGGTATCAGTACACAAATACCACCAGGTCTGTGCTTGTCCTGGGATAGAGGACCTGATGAGAAAATTTCCATCTGGCTTTGGGTTGGCCCATATAAAGATTATGGATGCACAGAGCTCTTAAGTCAGCAGCTTTTGTCAGCTTTAGACTCTTTAAAAAAGCAAATAAATAGATTTGTAGATTTTTAATGATATAAGACACTTGCGGGTGACTTGGCATATCACAGAGGACTCACTTGTGTTACTTCATGAAGGAGCAGCAGGGTGGAGCTGGAGTAAGCACCTCTGCATCTCAGGTGCAACAGTGAAATGCTAAAACATAGCCACGAGCAAGGAGCCTTCGGTCTGAATCACGCTGGGTGCTGGGAACTAAAGCAGAGGGAGAAAATCCTGTGTACACCGTAGTGCTTCTTTCTAGTGGGATGTGACAAAAGACATGAAATTGGGGAGAGAAACATGATGATTCTGGAATTTGGCTGTGGCTGTCAGGGGTGACGACAAGCACTGGCAACGCCTCCTGCCCGGGCTATAAAGGGCTCCAGGCCAGGGGGAAGCGAGCACTCGCTGTCTGCGCTGCCGAGCCCAGTGTCTCTCTCCAGCCCTCCAGCCTCCGCCAGCCTTCGCCATGAGCACCACTGTCAGGCAATACTCCTCCTCCACCTCCCTCAAGGGATTCGGTGGCCTGGGTGGAGGCTCCAGCAGGCTTTCCTCCGTGCGTGTTGGGGGAGCAGGGTACAGAGCCCCCAGCGTCCACGGGGGCTCTAGCAGCTACTCTGTCTCTTCCCGCATTGTCTCGGGGCTCGGAAGTGGCTATGGGGGCAGCTACTGCAGCAGCGTAGGAGGGGGCCTCGGCGGTGGCTTTGGGGGTAGCTATGGGGCTGGCTTTGGGGGTAGCTATGGGGCTGGCTTTGGAGGTGGCTTTGGAAGTGGCTTTGGAGGTGGCTTTGGAGGTGGCGATGGCATCCTCCCGGCTGGAGAAAAGGAGACGATGCAGAACCTCAACGACCGCCTGGCTGCCTACCTGGACAAAGTGCGTGCCCTGGAGGAGGCCAACACTGACCTGGAGGTCAAGATCCGGGAATGGTACAAGAAGCAGGGACCTGGTCCAGACCGTGACTACAGCCCCTACTACAAGACTATCGAGGAGCTCAGGAACAAGGTAGGATGCTGTGACTAACACAGTGGGATGTCTTGTTATCGGAGAGGAAGCAGAAACACTGGCTGCCACCTGTGTAATTAGTAAGCACTAACGATGTCGTAAAAAGTGTCTCAGATGCAAATGCAGAGTGCCAGGCTGGAAATTCAGATTTCTCAATGTCAGCTTTCAATTACATCCTTCTAGATGGAACAAATGGCAGTTTTCATGGGAAGAAGCTGATGTAAAAGGACATAATGCAAAAATGAAGAATAAGAGACAAGTCTGCAAATTTTTTGAGAGTTTAAAATGAGTATGCAGGGAAATGTAGGTGTGCACGAACTGTGAAACGTTGATGTGGTATTTGTAAACATTCAGTCAAAGAATTTGCAAACTCATTTCAGCTCCTCGGTGTTGATGTGCTTTAGATGCTAAAGGGAAAAAGATGGAACTGAACAAAACCAAGTTTTTTGCCTCCTTTTGGCAGTCACTGCCCCAGGGCCAGGCTTGCTGCAAACCCACCAAGCCAGGCAGCTCTGGGGGGATTTCTCTTGGTTCTGATTTGATTCCTACCACCCCATTTTGGAGAAAATACTCAAGAGTTGACTTTGTTCTTCTCTGTTACTTCTTAACTATGAATTGTCCCCAGTAAACATAAAGGAAGGCTGTGTAGAGCCAGAGCTGCAGGAGTGCTGGCAAATGATGCAGGCAACCCATTTTGCCTTCCTCTTCTTGGCACCATAACTGATGTCCTCCCAGACTCTGACTTGAATCTTCTCCCAGTGTGGATTATTTGCTCCTGTTTTTGTACTATAAAAATTGGAAGCTGTAGGCACCTGCTCACTGCATTTTGCTCCATTTCTGCAGTCAAAAAATTAAATCCATCCCTGAACAAATGGGCACAGGGTTTGCCAAGCACAAGCACCCTGCTGGTCCATCTGTCCTGCCAGAAGAGCCTCACAGTGCTGTGGATGGGGGAGCAGGCGATTCCTTCTTGACCCTTGCATAATCAGCACACCCTGAAGCATGGGAACAAATGCTGTCATCAGATCTCACACATCTTACGTGGCTTCATGCTGCCTTTTGAAATACTTACTGAAGGATTTTTGGAAAGGGAGGTCACAGAGTAACCAGCCCCTTCCTGCAGTCACTCTCAGCTGTGTCTCGCTTGTCCTGATTCAATAGGCATGTCTCCTAAAGAAACCCCAAGCTTCCCCAAAATATTCCTGTCCCGACAGTCTCACTTGTGCTCCCATCCCTTGGCCAGCCAGGAGGAGTTCCTGACACTCCTTTAGTGTTTTTTATTTATCCTCCACCCTCCAGGTCCTGGTGGCCACGGTCGACAATGCCAACCTCCTCCTGCAGATTGACAATGCCAGGCTGACAGCTGATGACTTCAGGACCAAGTAAGCCACATTTCCTGGAAAGATGGAACAAAATCTGCAGAGACGTTTAGTGAAATGAGGAGAAAATCCCTTCCAAAACCCAAAAGGGCAATGTGGAAACAAAGCCTTCAAAATGAAGGTGCAATTTCCAAAGCAGCAGGTTATCTAAATCTATAGGCATTTAGGGATTGTTTTGCTTCCATCCAAAACTTCAGTTTTATTCCCATTGCTTGTTCCTCTGTGGTACGACCTCTCCTGTGCAGAGAACTTGCACTGTGCCTCTGCTGTGCATTTAACTTTCGTGTGTATAGCCCAACAAAGCCCAGACCCAGCAACAAGGCCCAGCGATATCAGGAGCAAGGTGATGTTATGGACTCAGATGGCCACTGTTTTATCAGTTGTTCCCCTGCATTCACTAGCATTCACCATCAGAAGGTTGTCCATGCACCACTGGGGCCATGCAGTATTGACACAATGACAGCAGCAGCACTGAGGTGCTCTGTCCCTCGCTGGACAAGATCCTGTGCGACTTTTGTGACTGTTCTTGTGTTCCCAGGTTTGAGACGGAGCAGACTCTGCGCCTGAGCGTGGAGGCCGACATCAACGGCCTGCGCAGAGTCCTGGATGAGCTGACCTTGGCCAGAGCTGACCTGGAGATGCAGATTGAGAACCTGAAGGAGGAGCTGGCCTACCTCAAGAAGAACCATGAGGAGGTGAGCACAAAGACAGGCTCAAAAAGGTCCAGCCTGGGCCCAGAAATATGAGGTCTGGTCCAACCTTTAAGACTATGCTGAGTTTTGAACTGCTGGAAGATGAGAAGTGCTGGCAAGAAGTGGAGATGATGCATTCTGGGTAACAGCACATCCTCTCCAGAGCCTGTATAAATAAAACCATTCACCACTTGTTATTTCAGTAGTGTCCACGGTAGCTGTTAGAGATTTATTAACAATCCTAGCAGCTTCAGGCCTGGAAGGTCTATCTCCTGAGAAACAAAGCCAACTACAGGCTCTGATTTATCCTCTGAAGACAGACAGATTTAACTCAAATGAAGATTTCTTGAGAATTTGGGTTGTTGGTGATTGTGGAGCAAAGCCCTAGACATATCTGGCGAAGGACGCTATCTTTCTTGAAGAACTCTGTCTGGATAGGAACATCCTTATATGATGATTGTTGGATTGCATGAAGATGTTTTTCTCTTTTCTACCAGGAAATGAATGCCCTGCGTGGGCAGGTGGGTGGAGAGA